GTTTTACAAATACCTGTACTGAGGGTTTGAGGAAAAAGTATTAAGAAAGTTGCGGCATCCACCAGCAGATGAACCACGTATCCAAGCACCCTTCTCAGTGCGGCCCTCCCAGTTATTTGCTTGTCCTGCTCCTGGTTTGGCACTGTCAGGTCCCAGGTGGCATATTTCAAGCTTATCAAAGTACCTCGTAAAATCATCAAAGGACATCCTGTAATAAGAAAATATTGGAAAAGGTCTTTAGTTGCCATTGTTTTAGAAACATTTAATGACTCTTGACCCCTAGAACTGCATTTTATCATCTGTAATGAATAAGTATTTGCACAGTAATTGCTGCACTGTACTGCAATAACAGTTTTGTGTAACTTGCGGTGCATGGTATTGAAAAAACATTAAGTGTCTAATGGCAGTCAGCATTAGAAACTTACCAAAACTCTCCATCATCAGCAAAATTCAAATTCAACTTTCTTTTCTCGCTGTCAGACAGTCCTCGCCACTCTGAAGACCTTAAAACAAAAATGAGGAACATAAGGAGAAGCTAGGAGAACTATCACTACTATAATTAACCCAGTTTTGGGCATTATTTTTAGCCTTTTTTCTGTCACCACTCAGGCAAAAAGAGGCAAAACTATCCACAGAACTCCTTTCTTACACTTGAGAAACTACACTAAATGCTCTTGAATCTTAGTGCAAATGTACAGGGATATCTCACACTTAACTTGATGCTAGAACTTAATCTTATTTCATAAGTGGTACAAGAATCATCGATCAGGTTCCACAAGAGAAAAATTATTTATAAAGTAACAGGATTTTTTTGGTCCGTTTAAATTACAGATCTCTAACTTCCTCCTCCACTGTAGTTACAATGTATCTTTAAACATCAAAATTGATGTCACAAGGGGCTACAAAAACAATGTGCAGTGTAGTACTACAAGGCCTCAGTTAGAAAAAACAAACTAAACAGGCCTCAGTCTCGGCAAAATGCAGCACGTAGCTTAAGATGCATTAAGTGAATTCTCTTTTTTGAGATCTGATTTGTTGTAAACAGTTGCTTGTGGAGTTCGATACAAACTGACAGTCTGTTTGGTGTGCTCCAACATAACTTTGAACCATACATGAATGTAATTATGCACATAATTTATACAGTCAAGGGGTTTCTTACTTGTCTCCCCATGGACCTTCCCACTCTCGCTCATTACCCCAGGGGTTCCTCACACGGATCAATTGAACATCCCTGCCGTGGTAATTCACCTTAGGACAAAAGGAGCACAAAGTGTTACAATTACAAAACAATCTACTCGCAAGATTTACAAATCTAACAGATTAATGGCAGGACATTACTCAAAAGCCATATCTCAGTGTTTTCAAAATCAGCCGTCGGCCGTCGCATCCGACGGCAACTTTTTGATTTGCGACGCCTACTTTCCCTTAGGTAAATTATATGACAAATAAAACTTTGATAAAAAGTGGTAAGTGTTCACAAAGCTGTTGCGAGCAAGCAAACTTGAAATTTTTCTGGAGAATTTCGCCAAAACATCTTGAGTCTGCTTTTAAAAT